GGAATGAGACCAGCGGAATTATGGCGTACGAGCTGATCTTCAGTACCCACGATTCGTTGACAGACGATGCCGACTCTGTGATGCTGGAATTCTCCTTGCGCAAACGTACAGTCAAGGATCACTACGAAGAGTGGCCGTTCTTGATGCAGTACCGGGTTGTACAAGAACCCGAATGTGTTCTCCCAGGCCAAGGTTCGATGCCGGTGTTTGAAAGGAACAAGTGGTATGACCATCCTCATTCCTTTGTTGGTCAAGGTGAACGATTCCCCCGAGGGAAATGGAAATTTGGATATAGATGATAGTGCAAATTCGTTGGGATGGTTCGCAAAGACGGATCGCCATTGAGCAGGAGCCATTCTGTGTATAGTCTGTGTCTTGTAGGTAGGCGCCCACGCAAGTAGGCTCTGATCGCTGCTGTCCTTCATGATTGCCTCTTGTAACCGCTCGAAAGCCTTGTCGCCTTCACCATACAAAAGTGGCATATTCACGTCGAAGAGCCCTAGTAGGCTGTAGGCCATATCCTCTACCCTTGTAGTGACTCGATGCGCGGCCCAGCTCATTCTCTGCGCGACACTGAAGTTCTTCAGGTGTCTTCTCTGCAGTGCAGCTTCGTCGATTCTCGTGATCTTCGCCAGCACGCTTCGAAGGGAATGTTTGGTCCCTAGAAAAGACCATCTCTTTCCATAAAAATCAATCTTCTGAGATGCTAAGAGCTCTTGTAACGTCCAGCCCCGGCTGAACCACTTGGCTTGCGCGAGCTCATCATCTTTGACGGATACAAGGCCTCCGTTCCACAGGTCATGTGAGATACCATACTCGTCGAATTGGTCGCATCCCACGGCATCATGAGCCTCCACATCGTCAAGATATGCGTAGCAGATGGATGCGTTCTTGTACCAGCTCCACATGCTGTTGATAGCTTCACTTAGCTCTGCTGACGATCGTTTGTCAATGCAGCATGTGTCCACCCAAGCATACTCTAGACTATCTTGGAGGGCTTGTGCGCACGTCATGCGTATCTTTCGATGTCCGGGCCCATCCTTACAGATTACCCTGCACGTCAAAGTGTCCCAGAGCTCATGCGATCGCTCGAAGGTAAGCTCAGCTGTACCCCACGTGTGGGACAATATTGCGTATGCTGGAAGGTGCGCATAGTCATCGAAGCGTTCGAGCTTGAGCGTTGAAGCATTGATCAGATACATAGAGAAGAGAGTGCCGTTGACATCGCATTGGTGACATCGTTAGGAGTCATCGATGGAAATACCGCGTGTGAGAGCGTGAGGTTGTGGCTGAGCTTGTGCAGCTGCACCTCGCCTCGTTTACTCGGATCTATACTGACGACAACACAACAAGTGTCTCAAAGTATTAATGCGGCCAAGTTAGATTGGTAGAGTAAATAATGGGTCCTTTCCGTCCAGTGCGCGCGCATTGGCTTCAAGCAATTGAGATGGAGAGACGATGGATGGCCAAATACGTTGGTCAGCTTCTGTGTGAGTGGGTGGCCTGACAGCGCGGCCCTGGCGGCGTCCCTTCCCACTTGGCGCCTTGTTGGACAGCTCGAAGCACCAGTCAGCAACGACCATATCAACACAAGAATTTTACAGCAACACCCCAGGGCCAAGGTGACACAAGTACGCGACGTCAGGAATACTGTCTCACGAACTATGGCGCAGACGCAGACCGAGAAACTTCATACTGCCTGTGATGAATGCCGTAAGCCGCTGGACCCTGGTTCAACATGGCCCTTCAAGTGGCTAACATGCAGGCAAAGGGACCCGAAAGTTGAAGTGCTCAGGGGACAAGCCGTTATGTGGGAGATGTGAGAAGGAAAAGATAGAGTGTATCTACTCGCCCCAGAAAACCATGGGTCGGCCTAGGAAGAGAAGGCGAGAAGGCGAGGCAGACGCGCCTGTCGAACAATCAACAACTACCCAAAATGGTCACGACAGCGGCTTGAACGGCTTCACAGCACAGCCCAGCAGCAGCTTTGGTTTAATTTCTCCACCAGAGTTTGCGGATGCGCTGAGCGGAAAAGAAATCTACGCTCAGGCGCAGCTTGACCCCAGCCTGGCCGGCATCTACGGACCCTCACTCCCGATGACCAATCTCGAACAGATGCATACTCATCGCAGTAGCTTCGACCACACACCTCCAATCGACCCTTCGTTGTGGAACGCCCAAGTCATATCCGGCACCCAACCCAGCTACCAAACAGCTTCACATGAGACCCCTCCAGACCAAATTTCCTTAGGACCATGCACCTGCCTCTCCCTAACCTACCTCACTTTGACCGACCTCCAAACCGTCCCCACATTCTCCTTCCCGCAAGTAATCATTCCCCTGCGAAAAGCCATGACCACCGTCTCCTCTCTAATCCACTGCCTAATCTGCCCCTTGGACCCCTTCAGCGCGATCCAAAACGTGTCCTCGATCGTCTCACTGCTCAAAGCGATCGTTGAGCGCTTCAGCAAAGTGCTCCAAGAGATCGACCTTGAGGCCGAGCGCCTGAGGACAACAGGAGAGAAGAAACACTACCGCATGGGCGACAACAACCCCTCGCTGGCTCATTTGCACACTGGCACGCTCGACTGCCCCATGGGCTTCAATATCGAGCTGGAACCTGGGGTGTGGAAGACACTCGTCAAGACGGCGTTGAAAGGGGAGGTGGAAGGTGGAGGCAACAACCCGACACCGCTTAAGGCGCTGTTGGAGGAGGTCGAAGAGAGGCAGAGGAAGTGGCACAACGACCAAGGTTTTCTGAGAGAAGAGAGATGGAGAATTTGGGGTAAGCAGGGGGAGTGCGAGGGTGATGGTGGGTCGTGTAAGAGTCTGGGATCTGAGCGTATCCGGCGGGCGATGGATGCGTTAGACTGGTCGTGAGAGGTTGCTGAATCTGGTGCAATGTGAAGTGTGTGTCGAGTTGCAAACATGTTTTCTTAATCACAAGTGTCCCTTCTCTCATGACTGAGAGGACGATACGGTAGTGCTCAGCATTGCTCAAATCCCGAGTGTTGAACAAAGTCGACTACGGACCAGAATCTTTGCAGCCGTTAAAGGACTGCGAGGTACTGAGACACTCCAAGAGACTCGGGACAATTCCAGCCTTTGCCAATTTGATCAGCGCTGTCTCCAAATATATAACCTTTAGTACCAGCAGACTCAGAACCTCTGTGGAGCTGGCTCCCCCACCAATTGATGCAGCCTTGCATGTTGCACCAAAAGTGGACTTCAAAAGCAGAACTCTTGCCAATACGGGAGGTAGCCAGAGGTTTCATATACAGCATATGCAGGAAGACTATAGCTCTGGGGAATACAATGACTTCTCGTCAAAGCCGGTCTTCCCCTGCAATACGAGAGCTAAGTGCAGTGGTCTGTCTTCTTCGCACTCGAGAGACATTGTGCGGAAGGTCAATGTAAAAGTATGTATGGTTTTTACTTCAATGAAGGCCCGAATCCGGTCTCCGTCACATCCCCAGGCATCGAGGCCAGCCGACACGACTCTTGTGTCGAAGTTGCTGTTCTGGAGTTTGTACTTCAGTGCCTCCGAGGAATGGATCGAATATCGGAGGCGCTATCTGTCGAAGTTATTATGCAGTTCTGGGTTGCCGACGTAGACATCACAGGTCCTCACACCGTATCCAGCAACTAAGACAGCCCCTCTGTAATCGAAAAAGCTGGCTTGATAGTCAAGTAAGACGTTTTTGGCAAACTTTCTGAGTCCAGAGGCCAGGTGAGTCTCGCCACAGAGCTAATCTTTTGGAGGCACTGTGTTTGATTTCCGAATTACAAAGATAAGGGAGGGAAGTTTATCGCCATGGACATGAATGCGGTAGACACTCTTTTGCTGTTCACCTGTGACAGCGTCGAGCTTCTGTGTGTGAGAATTATCATTTGGATACATCTCGTGACGCTCTCGACTAGGGACAGACATATCGTTTGTGCAGCTTGGGCTCGTAGGTAAGGCTCTAATCGGTAAGTCCACAGCCTGCTCCCCAGCCCGTCTCCTTACGATGCTGTGTAATCGTTCTGCATCTTTCTGCTACCTCGAGATTGGGGTCCATCAGAGCGAGACTTGGGATATACGTTCTGACAATGGGCGCTGATGGTGGTCTCTGTGAGAGTCGGCTCGGATTCGGCTCGCAGAAAGAGTGGTGTGACCGTTGAAATACGGGAGGCAGTCAATGTAGTTATGAACGGGTTGCTTATCCTGAACTCGAGGTAGGCGCCTACAATCAAGTGAGTCTTTGCAAGACAGTTGGCAGGTCGTCGATGCCTAAAGGCTCGAGTCTAAGATCTTTGACCCGCGGGTTGTCAAATGGAAGCAACTGCTCTTTATGAACAACAGAGGCTCCAAGAATTCAAGTCTGATCCTTCCCTTTTTCTTTGCCCCATGCATGCATATTGTTCTGGTCAGCAGGTTCGGTAAATTCTTCTTGTTTGGTATTCAGAGTCTCCCTCGTGAATGAGATGACAGGCGGCACCCACGTGTTGGCTGTCCCGACTCCTTACGCGACCAAGCTTGCGTGCTCTGACAGACCGATTTGGTCGAGGCTCGAACTCAATGGAGGTTCGGCTTTGCTTCTGGATGTTGAGTCCAGCACAGGATACTTTGTACGAGCAGAAAAGAACCTGGATCTGACTCTCTCCCTGATTGAGACCTTGGAGCAAATCGCGCTGCTCGCATACAGTCAAATGCATGCGCAATTGCGACGCATAGGCGCATATCCAACATGCGGTACTGTGTTCGGATGCTGTAGTAGCGACTCTGTAAGGGTCACGACTCGATCCTGGCAAACCTCAATAGTTCTGGGGTGAGCTTGGAGGAGTACCGAGGCACTGCCTCAAGTACCGATCCACTTCTCACCCAGCATACTCATTTAGCCATATCCCAACAACGCAATGCTCGATCGACTCCGTTCGACTTGCAGGCCACTCCTCGGGCTACTTATATTGATTACATTTATTTTGTAACAGAAAATAAAGCCATAAAGCACGTGAAAGGGCAGATGGCCGAGTGGTCTAAGGCGCTGCGTTTAGGTAGAATTCTAAGCATCCTCCGCAGTCAGTAATGGCGTGGGTTCGAATCCCACTCTGCTCAGCTTTCTTTTTGCGTATCGAACTAAGGCTGGGGTGGTGGAGTTGGGTGTTTGGGCGGCCCGAGGGAGATTCGGACTAGCCGAGCAGACCTCACCCGCACCGGAACGCCAACCTTTTGCGGCTGGGGAAAAATAGTAACCAGTGAGGACACGACTAGCAGCGGTTTGCCAGTCGAAGGATCTGGCGATAATCGCGATAAAAGGCACGATACGCAGCAGAGTAAGCAGACGTCTAAAGCGCGAGCATAGTAGCTAGTTGCATGGGAGCACGTTTGGTACCTACAGTTAGTCCTGGCTATTTCGAACACTGACGCAGGAATGGCCAGTTCCTCCGATCCAAAGATTGATGACAAGACCCGTGGGTCTTGTCGTGTCCTTCTGTAAATACCTGGTCTCCTCTGGCATCGCCGTTACAGCAGCAATCGAGGTGCCCTACGCACCTCTATGCGGGTCGGCTCTGACCAGGACTGCAGACTGTATACAAGTTCTGGGAATCCTGTATAGCCAGTGCATGGAAGCGGTGCATCGACTTAGTTGAAGACACTTGAAAACAAGGTCAAGCTCACTGCCGATCGTCTCCTCTACCGAGGAGACCAACGGAAACGCAAAGAAAGCTGAGCAGAGTGGCATTCGAACCCACGCCAATACGTCCTTGCGGAGGATGATTAGAACGGACCGCTCTGGTGCGTTGCGGAGCTTGCCTCGCACCGCGAGGCAAGAAGGTCTACGAAACGGCTTCTCTAGTAAGTATCGCTGTAGCCAACACAATGTGACATCATCTTGCGAGAGAGGAACCAACATGGGCTGTAGAGTCCCGACAAATGTACGCAGGAGCCACTCGCCCTTGCATGCTATCTCCCCCCAACGACTTACGTGAGAGCGCCGGCCACATGCTCATCGCAAAACACGCACTCGTCTGTGGAGCCCATCGAGATCACGATGTTTGGAATAGTGTACGCTTCCACAAACTATCAAAGATGGCGTACTACACTTTGGACAGAGGACGTCTCGAGGTAGAAAGAAGCTGCGGGTGGATGCGGTCACTGTCGAGTCTCGAACTGTAATATAGCTTCCGGTTCTGGGCGTTATCGCTTTTCCACAAGGCTCATGTTACCTGTTTGGAAATGAGTGAACACCATTGGCCGAGACACTGGCACGGGACGCCAGGCCAAGTGGTGCTTTCGACTAAGTCTGGGACGCAGAGCGAGGGCCTGGGAATGGCAACATGCGCGCGTAAGACTAACTGCGTCGAAAGCAGTGACCAGCGACTGCCTGACGATACGAGAAGCCTACCGTGTACACATCATCTTCTAGGTATGAGTCCTTTTCAAAGTCGAGTCATGTTCCCCAAACTTCACTGCAGCCTTGCGCCTCTCGAGATCAGACTCCGAGACAAGAGCCATTTGATTTGTTGCTGGGCTACAGGCAGCACGGTGACAATACATCTTCGCTGAGCAATGACTCACAAGTGCTATTACAAGACATGGAAAGCGCACGAAGGTGTGAGACGCTGTAAGTCGTAAACCATTAATCATTCCAATGTACGAGAGTCACGGCAAGAAGAGTCATGTGTGGTAAGAGGTATATTTAAGAGACGGAGGGCCTCGCGAAGAGAAATTCGAATACCGGACAAAGACAGCTAGTACTCTGAAATCAGAGTGAGAACATCGACAATCCTTTCGACACTTAGCCAGGAGGAGTCAAATCGACCACGAAGGGAGACTGCACTCCGGCGGTAAACATTAATCAGAGAAGAGAAAGCAGCACAGGACCATCAGCCAATAAAGGCAAGGTGAGTGTGTGAACAGCAGTAAGTTCAGGACAACACGAAAAGAAAACTTTTACCAAAAGGCTAGTTGGTCTTCACCAACCCCTTCAGGCCACCGGTAACTGGGTACGAGGGGAACGGGGATTCACGCTCCAGAGTAACCATGAGCTAGAGCTAGTGTCTTCCACTTCTCAACTTCAGCCTGAAGTTCGGCATTGCGAGCCTCAAGCTCGGCAACGTGGTCGAACTTCCTCTGTCGAGACTCACGAGCAGCAAGAGTGTTGCGCGCTCGCTTCAAAGCGATCTTGTCAGTAGGATCGACAGCGATAGGAGGGAGAGTGCCCTTGCGACGACGAGACTTGCTGATGCCGTTGCCGTTAGTGGCAGGCGAGTTTGTGACAGAGGACTTCCTTCGGAACGAGCTAGAGTCCAAGACGATCGGAGATCCCATGCTGGAAGAGCCGGATCGCTCCATGGACTGGCTGCTGACGGTGCGCTCCATGGGTAGACCAAGGGGAACAGCAGGGGCGTACTGAGCAGCAACATCGTTGAGTTTGTTATCCTCCTCAGGGAAGAGGGAAAACCAGTCGTTGGAGTTGTTGTTCAGCATGCCATCGCCGTGGAACATGGGCGAGGTCTCGAAGCTGTCGTTGATGAAAGGAGAGACATCGATGTCGGGCGAAGTCAAATTGGTGAACGCCGCAGATGGGGGTGCAGAGCCAAAGTCGGTGAAGATATCCTTGGGTGAGACGGTGCGCTGCGAACCGGAAGCGACGGAAGGGTCGTTGATCGCGGTGAACGCGGCGACTCCATCCAAGGAGAAGCCGCCAGCCTGGAAGGCAGGCATCAGGCTGGCGCCCGAGTCAAACGAGTTGTTGCTGTGCAGGTCTGCGACATGTGTGAGCATGTGAGAGTACTGGCGGTAGGTTCCGTTCTTACCTGCCATGTTTGCGACGTTTGGCAGTGGTTGTTGTACTTGTGGAATGGAGTTGTTGCTAGAGCTGTGGAACAATGGGACCGGGGGACGTTGTCGGGACAAGGGCTGCTGCTGGAATTCTGTGGTAGATGATGGGGCAGAATTTGCGTAGAAGTGCTGGCCGTTGTTAAACGTAGGAGCTTGCTGAAGAGCGCTCGGTCGACGAGGTTGAGCTGGTTGGTCGTAGAGCACAAAGTCCGTCTGCGGATGCGCGAGGTCGTGTGATGTCGTATTCAGTTGTTGCCGATAGGCGTGGGGAGCTGGTGAAGGGAGCCATGGTGACTGGTGAGAAGCCGTGGTGACCGACGTTACGTCGATTGTGGAAGGCGAACTGGAGCTGCGCGAGGCTGGGCTATAGTTCAGAGGTTCCAAAAGGAAGTCTCTGAGGGGTGGGGTTGAAATAGTTGGGTTGTTTATTGTGTTGTCCAGAGTGACGGGCGCGAGACGCTTAAAAGGCAGCCATTTTGTATTGACTGTCTTGGTGTATTTTATTGTGAGAGTGGTGGATGAGAGCAGAATCAGGCAGCGAGGGATGGCGGGGGAATTTAAACGGCAGCCCAGGCGTGCGAGAAGCGAGACGCCAAGCCACCTTCACTCTGACTCACCGAAGTCGCAGCACAAGCCGGTGGGGGCAGCCAATGGGCGGCACTTTCGGCGCACACGGTCATCAGCGCTAGTACGCTGCGGGCTAGAGGGCCATCACTTTCGCGCAGCCTCTCGCTGAGCACTGCACGATGTTTCGCAGTGATCGCAGAGTGTCGGGGACGGCTCCTCTCATCTGCGTGGTCGCAACATGTGCTTCAACAAGCTTTATGAACATATAGCAAGAATGTTGAAGAGCGCAGCATACAGGCGCACCGACTGCAGCGCACTCGAATCGAGATCGTTACCAGCAGTCAAATTCAGGCATCAGGTTTGTGGCCTGTAGGGCGTGCAAGGCGCTAAAGGCAGGGCCACCCCAGCAATAAACCGGTGGAGCTGATTACGCATCCTAGCCCGACTCGGCTCAAATGCGTCGTTTCCCGGTGGGAAAGAGGGCGCAGCAACATCACCGCCCTTCTTAATCAATGTGCGACGCGTCTTCAGGGCTGGTTGAGCAGATCGTACTTTCACACTGTGTTGCGCGTCGAAGGGTGGACGATTCGACTCTTTGAAGGACTCGAAGCACCCCAGTCTTGGCTCGGACCGGATCACCGGTGAGAGGTCGACGTTACTTTGGATGAAACCAAATGCTGCATTCCTACATCCACCGAGTCGGATCGCAGTATGACTCCTCAAGAAGTATCGATCTGATCTGGATATGGAATTTTGGCCCCATGCAACGCTGCAGAGTATCCATCTCATGCAGGTCCATGGGAGCTGCACCGCCCACGCACGCTGGCAGGTCGAGTCTAAAGTACACCGCCCCCGAGCCTCACTTCCAGCACCTGTTTTCTTATTCTGGTCGACCGCACCCTTTGCTTATGCTTTCCATGTCGTTTGATGCGAGGATCTTGGTTGCCTTTAACGGTTGGACTGAGTGTTCCATATTTTCATCGAGCACATGCACATATCGTCTGCGAGCCTGGTGGCCGTTCCGAGGTTGGCTTGTATCAGTTCTCATGTTCGTCTAGAGCCTCATAACGCATCGTGCAGCAACCAGCAGTGGCACCATTTGGCCTTGACCTTGGGGCATGCACACATATGGGCAGGTTGAACTAAAAGGCGAGAGTTGTTTCCATCATTGCTCAATACCGACAGGGACTGTGCTTTGCAGTATATTGCTTCGCCGCGGATATGGCGAGCAGAGGTGACCAAATTCGTGTCTTCCTCGCTGTATTGCACCTGCTTCACGATTGCCACACTTAATCTCTCCACTGCATGGTCAGCCAGGTTGGTTAAGACCCCCACCCACTCCAGTTGTTGGGTCCTTCCCTGAAGCTTGGTCCCTGGGTACTCTGTTGAGCCGCCACGTCAGAGATGAGGTAGACTCAACCCATCATTAAGTGCGGTCTTTGCACTGCCAACCTTTATGTCTTGCGGCTCTGTTCATGCAGAGAAGTTCTCTTTCGGCGTTGGCCGAGCCTCATGGGGGTGCCTGCCCCGCTGTCGACTTGACCAAGCGCTGTCCGTCTTCGACGACAGGTTAACGGATATGATGGTGGGCTTTGCCGCGCCTGCTGCGAATGATCCGTAACCATATGTGGGCTGGTAGCGGTCGGCATAAAGTAATTGTGCGGTCGTTGAGTTGACGCCGTCGAGCTCACTCAATGTTGGTG